ATGTGTCTTTCAGCCATTTTAGATTCCTCTATTGAGAATTGTCTATTTAGTTCTATACCCCACTTTTTAATTGGATTGTTTGGTAGTATATTTTGGAGATTAGCCCTCTGTCAGATGCAGGGTTGGTGAATATCTTTTCCCAGTCTGTGGGCTGCCGTTTTGTCTTGCTGACTGTGTCCTTTGCCTTACAGAAGCTTCTCAGTTTCAGGAGGTCCCATTTATTAATTGTTGATCTCAGTGTCTGTGCTACTGGTTTAATGTTCAGGAAGTGGTCTCCTGTACTGATTAATTCAAGGGTATTTCCCACTTTATCTTCTAGTAGATTCAGTGTGGCTGGGTTTATGTTGAGGTCTTTGATCCATTTTGACTTAAGTTTTGTGCAGGGCGAAAGGCTTAGGCCTATCTGTAGTCTTCTGAATGTTTGCATCCAGTTATGCCAGCATCATTTGTTGAAGATATTCTCTTTGTTCCAGCGTATATATTTGGATTGTTTGTCAAAAATCAGGTGTTCGTAGGTGTATGGGTTAATATCAGGGTTTTCAACTCTATTCCATTGGTCTACCTGTCTATTTTTGTGCCAATACCAAGCTGTTTTCAGGCTTATAGCTCTATACTAGAGCTTGAAGTCAGGGATGGTGATACCTCCAGAAGTTCCTTTATTGTACAGGGTTGTTTTGGGTATCCTGGGTCTTTTGTTTCTCCATATACAATTGAGAATTAAGAACACAAATTTCGGGGCTGGAGAGATGGCTCGGAGGCTAAGAGCAAAGACTGCTCTTCCAGAGGTCCTGAGTTCAATTCCCAGCAACCACATGGAGGCTCACAACCATGCGTTATGAGATCGGGTGGCCTCTTCTGGTGTGCAGATATATATGGAAGCAGAATGTTGTATACATAATAAAGAAAATCGTAAAAAAAAAAAAAAAAAGAAACACAAAGTTCTAAATGGGCAGTTACATATGGATTATGCTCAGTGGTTAATTTGTTTAGTAGTCAAGTTGCATATGTCAGGTCTTAGTTTTTAGAGTATTTGCTCCAAATGGCACTGCCACTGTCAGTTCTCTCGATTGTCATTGTCATTTAGTGTTATAGACTGCACACACACTTGTATGCTCGCACAGACCTTGTGGAAAGGAGTTCCAGAGAACAGGAAGACTACATGTTTAAAATATCAGCCTTGTGTTAAATAAGGTCATTCGTAGTCCAGTAGTCCAGGTTGGTTGTGAGTTCATAGTCCTGTGTCTCTGTGTCCAACCTGTTACATTTATGGAGTGTGTACAGCATTGTAGTTATTTCTTTTGGTGCATTTCTATAGTTATATCTACTTTATTACTATTATTATTTAGTTTATTTTCCTTTGACATCTCTTCTACAGGGAAAATTTAACTACTTGAGATGGAACAAATTGAGTTCAAATAATAAAATTTGGCATTGTTTTGGTTTCATTAATATTGTCTGTGTTGTATTTTAATAATAGTAACAATTTACTGTAAGGCCTGGAAACATAGATGAAATCCATGTGATAAATGGATTATTGATATTGCATTGTGGTGCATTAGTGATTGAAAGTTATGATCTGTGGAATGTTCCCTTTACAGTATTTCTGAGTTCAGACCTCTTTTATAATCCTGAGATGCTAATTTGATTTTTCTGTGATTGACATTTGTATTGATGTACACAAAATACAATAAGGCAGGAAAGCCTTGCTGTAGAAATTAAGGTATTATCATCGGATCAGACCAGAGTATTGTGTTTCTGCATACAACACTGCTTTATTTTATTTTATTTTATTTTATTTTATTTTATTTTTTTTTTTGGTTTTTTGAGACAGGGTTTATCTGTGGCTTTTGGAGACTGTTCTGGAACTAGCCCTTGTTGACCAGAATGGTCTCGAACTCACAGAGATCCGCTTGCCTCCCACGTGCTGGGATTAAAGGCGATCACCACCAACGCCCAGTTTATTTCTGATTTTAAAAAGTATGTTTCCTAATGTTGCCTGGGCTAGTGTTTGACTCATGATTCTTACTCATTCTTTCAAGTAGAATGTGACAGTTTTTCTCCTTATGTTTCCAATAATGTTGATTAGTTTTGCTAAGTTTTGGCACAAACCACTCATTTTATGGTAGCTTGAATTTGAGTATTTGTCAGATATTTTTACAAACAGTATGGTCACTGTAAAGACTACCCCTTATGTTAGGGATGGTGCTCAAGGGTAAGATAGTCCTTGCCCAGCATGCAAGAAGCTCTGGGTTTGATTCCAGCACCAATAATGGGCACAGAGGTGCATACCTTTATTGCCAGTACCTGGAGATAGAGGCAAAAAGATCGGAAGTTCAAGGTTATCCTGTAAGGATTCAGGCATCATGCTGGCCTGCCTCTGTCACCTGGCAGAATGCACTCAGGCAGTACCCTGGTCAGCCCAGGATTCCATGAGTACTAGTCTGCAGGTGCAAAGGACCCCTGTTACCCTGGGACAGATAGAACTTTTCCTGTCTTCCTCTTCTCTTCAGTCCTTTCTCCATGTCCCATGTCCCTTTACCTCTTTTCCCTTTCCTTCCCCCTCCTTCAGCTTTCTAATAAAACTTCTCACTTAAGCTCTGTCTGCCTGGTGTGTTTGTCATCCCTGTGTTCTCTTACACCCCCCCCCCCCCCAAGTTACTGCCTGTCATGGAATCCATGGTCTCACGCAAAGGTCACCCTCAACCTTTATCATAACACATCCTACATAAAAGACTCCAGGTTAGCCTGCACTATATGAAACCTTGTCTCAAAAAAGAAACAAAACTTGTTGAAATTGAATGTTAGAATTCTGGGAAATTTGTGCATTCTACCATAAACTTGAAAGTGAAGATGTAGTGAACTTTGACTTTGTGAGGTGGAAAATGTTCATTGCTAGCTTTCAAGTTCTCCATTTCAGGCTAACCTTTAGTTAGTTTAGTCAGTCAGTTTTGGTGTCCTATGAAAGAAAATGAATACTCTTACTTGTTAAGTATATGTGTTAGGTACATGCTCATCCTGTACTTCAAACAAATGATAATATATGTGTGGGTTAGTAGAAATATACAGTAAAGGTTAAGTTCTTTTGGCTTTGAAAATACAGTTACTAAAAATACGCTGTCGTGTAATGAAATCCAATCTCAGCTGGCTGTTTTTTTTTTCTCTCAATTTCTATATACTCCTGATTGACAAAAGATGGCATATGTAAACAATTTGTTACTGGAATTCCAGTAATTTTTCATAATATAAACTTACCTTGAGTTACCGTTGAAGCCAAAGTGATGTGTAGAACAGTTAATTTTCTGTGCTTCCACGTCTTGTGGCCACCTTGTAGGTAAATGAGCTTGTTTCTTTATTAAATGCTGACTCTTGATCTCCTTTGCAGCAGTGTTTTTGGAACAGTGCCTGTGGGTGCTTCGGCTCAGACACAACCTGCTTCAAGTGGGCCTGCTCCATTTGGGGGTATGTGCTTTTCATAGATAACATTGTTTTTAGTGTGAGAGCAACCTTTTGTTATCAAAAGGCTTACATTTCTGTCTTGAAAAGTATAGTGAAGAAATTTTAGAAATCTTGAATATAAAATATTGGCATTTTATAGCATATTTTATACTTCTTTAAAAGCTCCGCCTTCTACGAATCCATTTGTTGCTGCTACTGGTCCTTCTGCGGCATCATCTACAAACCCATTTCAGACCAATGCCAGAGGAGCAACAGGTAAGAAAAGACAGATCAAGGAACCTTAACCATGGGGAAAGGAGTTTACTTATTCATTTATTATTTATTTACTCACTTATTATAAAGCATACCTAAACATAAGGCCTCTTTCTGCTGAAGCACAATGCAAGAAAAGATAGGTGAGCGTGTTCAGAAACGCAAATGCCAGCTGGGTGTGGGGACTTAGGTTTTTTTCATCCAGTATTTGGAAGACCGAGGCAGGAGGATACTGAGTATGAGGCCAGCCTGAGCCACATAGAAAGACCTTGTCTAGCTGGATGCATGCCTTTAATCCTAGCACTCAGAAGGCACAGTAGGCAGATCTCTGTGAGTTCGAGGCCAGCATGGTTTACAGAGCTAGTTCCAGGACAGCCAGAGTTACACAGAGAAACCCTGTCTCAGGGAAAAAAAAATGCTGAAAAGTTTATGAAATTCAGGAATTTAGCAGTAACAAGGAACCTGAGAAGTTATATTTCAACCGTTCTGACTGAAACTTTGAGTTTTTCAGGTAAGGAAGCTGAAATGTGGGCAGAAGAACTTGATTGACAATAATAGTTCAGCTTGTTTGGTGCCAGAATGGCTATTAGTCATTCAGTATTAACAAAACATTTCATAAAAAGCCCCGTGAGATTATATCAGATGAGTGAATTTTGTTACATTAACTCTAGTGCCTCTTTTCAGGGTTCCTACGTATGTTTCTTTTGTTTTTTGTATTTTATGAGAGCTATGGATCATGCCAGGGTCCTCCTGCATCCTAGGCATGCACTCTGCCAACCAAACTATATCCATGTTCATTTTATCTTTCACTACTTTTTGTTTTCATTAATTCTGGTTATCCCTTCTACCTTTTTTCTATACTTGTTTCATACCAAAGCCATTCACATTCTCATTTCATTTCTTCTAATTTTGTCTTAACTGCCATCACCTGGCAAGGCATGTCAGCAGTTGTAAGTGTTGTGACTAGCTAGCTATTCAGTCTAGACTGCATAAACTTTGTAGATTGGAACCAGAGCTTTAACACCAATTATAGCAAGTGTTGATAAGAAGTTTTAAGAGTATATCATTATAATGAATCTAATCATTAAGAATTAGTAGTTATGATAAATGTTTTTATCATTGGCAAGACTAAGAATTATGAGAGTCAAGCTAGCATGGTGGTGTTTGTTTGTAAACCCAGCAGTGAGAAGCAGAGGAAGATCAGGAGTTGGAGACCAGTCTGACTACTACAGGGAGAACCTATCTAGACAAAGGAGAAAAAATTAAAAATTGTGATACCAGAAGTCAGAATAATAAGTATTTTATTTCGTTTACACAAACATTTTAGTTATACTTTAAGTATTTGAAATTTATCAGATTTAATTTTTAAAAATGGTTTGTTCAGGGGCGGGTGAGATAGCTAGATATGTAAAGATACTTCTCCCTAATGCGTCGTGACCTGGAGCTCACACTGTGAAAGTAGAGAACCAGCTATCCTGATGTGTGCTGGGTTAAAGTTGCCACAACATATTGTTCAGTTTGTAGAGATAACAAAGAGGAGAAATTCAGATTGCATGTGTGAGAGTATACTAACTTAGCTCCAGCTAAATGCTGTGTTTAGCTCAGCAGTGTGAGCAGTGCGTCCTGGGCAGCCAGGCTGTTTGAATCAGATGCTGTAAGTCACCTTGTATATTTGTGTTCTGTGTGTCCATCAGCGTTAAAGAAACCCCCTACCACTACTTTATTTTTTTGCTGTCTTTAAATAAGAATTTTGAGAGATAATATTCTATGTAGAATATTATCTATATAATATATAGATAATAAATATTGCTTATATCCCCTATAGATTTTACAAATCTACAAATCTATAGATTTTACAAATCTATAGGGGATATAAGCAACATTAATTTTGAAGTTTATCAGAAAGAAAATACTATCTCCAAATTTTTATTTCAAAGTAATTTTTGTTTGCTTTTACTTACTGATTTTTTTGGTTTTGTTGTTTTCTCTGTGGATTCCTGGCTGTCCTAGAACTTGGTATATAGACCAGGCTGGCTTTGAACTCAAAGAAATATGCCTGCCTTTTCCTTCTGAATGCTGTTTTTAAAGGCATGTGCCACCATTCCTGGCTATTTCAAAGTAATTTTTGCATTATAGAGGGTTTTGAATATATTGCATTGGCTATCTTTCTTAGGTTATCATTGGATTGACTAAGTTGAAACAAACATTGAAGCTGTGGCACTGCAGTTCTTTTACAGATCCACTGTCCTTAGGAATTTCCAGGCCTTTATAGCACTTGGATTCCTGGAGGGGTATTTCTTCCTCTCAAATATGTTAGCCTTGTGAAATACTCTTCTGAGATAGCTTTAAAAGAACAGTGACAGACACTTCTATACTCTTGAAGATTAATAAATAAGTACCAACCTAGGCTGTCAGCTCTGTTTCAGACTAAAGTATGGTGCTGCTTAATACTAGTTAACTGTCACTCTTGACTGAGAATTTTTAATGTAGTTTTATTAGAGAGAAACTGGGGTGGTGGTGAGGTAGGGCATATAGCATTTGTGTGGAGGTCAGAAAATAGCTTTGGGGATTAGTTCTTCCTTGGGATCTAAGGATTGAACTCAAGCTTTTATCTGCTGAGCCATCTTGCTGGCCTTGAGAAGTTTTAAAAGCAGTATTCAATGGAAAGGGTTCTGTGCCTCAGTAAGTGCATAGGGGAAATGTTGAGAAAACATAGTTTAGCAAGCATTATTGATACAAGACCAGTTGAAGCCTTTAGATTTCTTTTTTTTTTTTTTTTGGTTTTTCGAGACAGAGTTTCTCTGTGTAGCTTTGGAGCCTTTCCTGGGGGCCCCCCTGGGGACCAGGCCAGCCTCGAACTCACAGAGATCCGCCTGCCTCTGCCTCCCGAGTGCTGGGATTAAAGGTGTGCGCCACCAACGCCCGGCGGAGCCTTTAGATTTCTAAGAAGAGAGTTAAATTCAGTGATTAAACTGTTTATCACAGGACTCTTCTTTGACAACCTTTTTTAAACTTTAAAAGTGTGTGTGTGTGTGTGTGTGTGTGTGTGTGTG